AGAGAGAGAGAGAGAGAGAAAGAGAGAGAAAGAGAGAGAGAGATTGTTCTTCTTAATTTATTTCAAACGAGTCGCTTTCAATTCTTTAACAGTTTTTGGTTTTCCCAAGACAAGGGGAAACGAAAAGATGCCAAAGTTTTATCAGACATCGGACGTAAGAATATACATTACTTTGGGGTGTGTGTGTCGGTGGGGGGGGGAAAGAGCCTCTAAATGACAACAATATTACAGAACTGCTCTCCCGAAGGATGATTATAATCGTCTCCATGTTCAGCAAGACCCAGGTACGACCATTCAAATGATGTTTTTAGCATATCTAATTACATAAAGATGAAAAATGTTTTTTTGAACACCTCAACAGTTTGATTAAAACAGTCTCTCCATAGAATTTATTTTATAAAGATACATTTTATTCTGGGTCCTAAAAAAAAATGAGCAACAAAAACCGTTTTAAAGTGTATATATTAAAAAATATATATCAAAACATCCTTAAGTTCGCAATAACAAGTTAATAAATTGAATTTGAATGCATAACTTCATATGTCTTTTGTCTCTGCGTGCAATAGTTATAACATCATGACAAAAAGGATGTGCCTTTCTTGAGTGAATCTCTTGAAAGAGCTACCACCATGCCGACAGTGAGAACCGATATGCTTGTTATATTATTATACCCAGGTACACGCTCGATTGAGGAAAATTGCTATAACTTTTTGTAAGTCTCTAACTCAGAATCACAAAGTTCTATATGACATCGTTAGATCATTCGGAGTTTTTATCAAGATATTCAAAGAATCGTATTCGAAAAAGCTTGGCTTGATTTGAATCTCAAAACCTTTGAGCTCAAATTTCTCAAAACTAGGCACTAAGCAGATATAACTTTGTGATTCTGAGGAGCGAAGGGTGTGAGAAAACAGAATAGTCGCACCCCTGAGCTTAGCGTAAATTACTGTTTTCTTGAAACGTGGCCAAAACTCCCTTCCTCTCTGTAGGAATCGCAATTCGTTTATCTCCCCGTCTGCCTTTAAGAATCACAATACGCCCATTTCCCTCTTTGTCTATTTGTATCTCAATTGCTTCTATCTTTCTGTCTATCTGTAGGTATCTCAATCCGTCGGTCTGTATCATAAGAATAAACTTCGAAACAAAATTCAATATTGCCCTATCGTCCCCTTCCTTAAAGTCTCAAAGTCAAAGAAATTTATTTCTTCTCTTTAAATATGCATTTTTAAATTCGTCCCAAACGCCTATACCATTCCCAGCCTCCCTCTCTCTCCCATCTCAGAAAAAAATACGAATCTGTTTTTTCCTCTTAATTTGTCCACACACTTTGAATGAATCTCGTCTTTTTTACTCATCAAGGTGTGCCCTTCTTCAGAATAAATATGGCTCTACCTGAGGTTTCAATAACGGTTTCGATGTACAGGCTAGGTCGTAGCATGCGACAAAAAATAAACATAACGTCCCAGCTATGCAAACACACCGACGAACAGGTATCTCGCACGCAAGAAAATGAGAGTTTACGTCACGGGCCGCCATTACGCAGTTTGATTAAGTCATGAAAGATGCAATATTTTAGTCTGTTTTAAATGCCATTTTTTCTCTTAAACTTTGGATGTGAACTGTTTAATATAAGAGTATCCCCCCTCCCCCCTGTCTCTTTTCTTCTTCTTTCGCACTCTCTCCCTCACTATCTGTCTCTCCATCTTTCTTTCTCTCCCTCCTTCCTTCCCTCTCTCCCTCTCTCTTTCTGTCTCTCCCCCCCTCCCTCCCT